TTTCATAAAATCTCTGTGAGAGACACTGTTCCTAGCGTTTTCCCGGTAGATTTACGGCAATATATTGTACACAGGCTTTAGCAAAATCTTGAGACATTAATTTTGCATGACGCTCGCAAAATTCTGCCCAGCCTCCATCCATTTCGGCTGGTCCTAGAGCACTAGCCATTTTCCATTAGTTCTTTTATAGATTTTAATTATTAACTAAGATTTACATAACAATAACATCATACTATCATATTAATATGCTTTGCAAACGATCAAGAAGATAAATTAACTCTATTGCGTTTTTAGCATATTATACAAACAACGGACAAGTTCACATATATCAATGCTTTAACATCGATGAAAAACAGACATCGTGAATAAATTGATCCGACATCTGTTGACAAAAACGACAATTACAACGAGAATACTGAAACAAACATTTCTAGCATAGGTATATTGGTATATTCACACTTTATTATATTTTGAATTATTTGATCACATAATAAAATCAATTAGTAAATTGAGAGATATCAAGAAAATTTTGACACTATAGTTTATTCTGTTTTACTGTATGTTGACTTTAAATACACTTTTTCGAATTTTGAATTTTGAAGTCAAATATTTAATACTAGTTGCTGTCGGGAGCAGCAATTTGACCTGACAGCGGTGGCGAATTTGATCGATTGTCATCGGTGTAGATTGTAGTAAACGGCAGTATTCTATCTTCTTTCGCATCCAAAAATTCCCGTTTGCATTTTTCTATATTAGAAATTTTAGCTTTTATTAGCGAATTCATTCCTTTTTTTACACCATTCATTATCTACATGACTAATTTTACCTGAATTAGCGTAAGAATTTATAATATCGCCCTTTTGACCTTCTTCACGAACATCAGAAAGTGTTTGAACATCATGGGTCGAAATTATTTTACCAAAATTATGATTCAAATCACTGTCCACTTCTTGTGAAATTTGATCAGAATGCAAAAGTAAGTCATTTTTATTATCACAATTGTTAGAAGCTGATTTCTCAAGATTGTGTGATAAAATGTCATTTTTACGTTCCAACGTTATCATTTTTGTTAATTCTGGACTAAAACTAACAATAGGTCCCTTATGATTATTTTTAGTTTCGTCTATTCTTAGTGATTTACCTTCTATGAAATCTGGCGTGTCAATTCGTGTTTCATTTTCTTGACGAATTAAATCATCACTAGCGAGTTCATTACTTCTGAGAGTCGTTGGATTTATTACATCTATACTTTGTTGCAAGTTAGAATTTTGTTTACTAGCTTGTTCCATTATAATAATGCTTTTATTTCTATGATCATTTCCTGCATTTGTCTTTTCTTCGGCGTGGTTTATGTACTTTTCAATTTTCGTAACTGGAAAATTGAGTGGTATATTTGGCTGATATTCAATAGTAGTTGTGCCATCTGAGCTTAATTGCATACTTTCAGTGAAGACAGCTGTGTTATTATGAAAGAGCATTTCATCAAATTGTTTAAGGAACTTGTTTTTTTCTATACCGATTACAGAATTTGCTTGCGTTCTGGAAAAGCCTTTTTTCTTATTTTTGAGTTTATTGAGTTTATCATTTTTCATTGCTCTCAGCTTTAATGGCCATCTGTTTCCACTAACTTTAAGACGCCCCGTATCGATTTGGTCAGTTATATTTTTTATCATTTGCTCTTTCCACTCATCATCATCGCCATGTTTACGTAATTCTTCGCTGATCACTAATGGTAATAGACCCGTATGGGCTGGCTGTTCAGAATTTTCTGCAAATGCAATTGATTCTTCCGCATTTGTTGTCTTATTTTGTTGTACCGCACTTGCTGAATTCCTTGATAATCTTTGAAAGCTATCCATAGAATCGGCAGAATAATTGGAAGACAAACTGTTTTTATGAAGAGTGGTATTTTGCCCTGATTTAATTTGTTGTGCGTGCAAATTAGATTCTTTCTCGGGATTAATTACTCTATCATCTTTTTTGTTTCCGTAGGATTATAATCTTTAAAAAGGTCTTCATTATCATCATAAAATTTCTTGATTTCTTCTGTATCTTCCATATCTTTCTGATCGCCATTGTCAACATATATTTCGCGCTTTGCGCTGTAATTATTATTGTATTTTAATTTGCCATAAACAATATTTAAATCCGATTCTTCTTTTTTGTTTGATTTGACAACAGTATCAGTATTATTTTCTTTATTATTCGATTTGATGATGATATCAATAACTTTCGTTCCATTTTTCAGTGGCGACATATTCTTTCTATTTTCTTCTTTTTTGGTCGATTTGGTGATGTTATCAATAACTTCCCTTCCATTATTCATTGGTGTCATTTGCTTTTTATTTCCTTCTTTCCTAGCCGATTTGCCTTGAGTGATTTCCATTTCATTTTTCATTGTATAACTAGGCGTTGAAACCATACTTTCATCCTTTTCTGTAGTAAGTGGCATCATATGTTTTTTATTTTCATCTTCCCTATTTGAATTGTCCTGACTGATAGTATTATTTTTTTTATTGTTCGATTTGGTGATGTTATCAATAACTTTCGTTCCATTATCCAGAATATAACTAGGCGTTGAAACGATATTTTCATCATTTTCTGTAGTACTCGGCGCCAAATGTTCTTTATTTATTTTCTCTTCCCTATTTGAATTGTCTTGACTGATAGTATTATTTTTTTTATTGTTCGATTTGGTAATATTATCAATAACTTTCGTTCCAATATTCAGTGGCGTCTTATGCTTTTTATTTTCTTCTTTCCTAGTCTTTTTGTCTTGAGTAATGGTATTATTTTCTTTTTTGTTCGATTTGGTGAAGTTACCAGTAACTTTTGTTCATTATCCAGTGTATAACCAGGCGTTGAAACGATATTTTCATCATTTTCTGTAGTAATCTGCGCCATATGTTCTTTATTTTCTTCTTTCTTATTTGAATTGTCTTGACTGATAGTTTTATTTTCTTTATTGTTCAATTTGATAATATTATCAATAACTTTCGTTCCATTATTCAGTGGCGTCTTAGGTTTTTTATTTTCTTCTTTCCTAGTCGTTTTGTCTTGAGTAATGGTATTATTTTCTTTTTTATTCGATTTGGTGAAGTTACCAGTAACATTTGTTCCATTATTCAGTGGCGTCTTAGGTTTTTTATTTTCTTCTTTCCTAGTCGTTTTGTCTTGAGTAATGGTATTATTTTCTTTTTTATTCCATTTGGTGAAGTTACCAGTAACATTTGTTCCATTATCCAGTGTATAACCAGGCGTTGAAAGTATACTTTCATCATTTTCTGTAGTAATCGGCGCCAAATGTTTTTTATTTTCTTCTTTCTTATTTGAATTGTCTTGACTGATAGCTTTATTTTCTTTATTGTTCGATTTGGTAATATTATCAATAACTTTCGTTCCAATATTCAGTGGCGTCTTATGCTTTTTATTTTCTTCTTTCCTAGTCGTTTTGTCTTGAGTAATGGTATTATTTTCTTTTTTGTTCGATTTGGTGAAGTTACCAGTAACTTTTGTTTCATTATCCAGTGTATAACCAGGCGTTGAAACGATATTTTCATCATTTTCTGTAGTAATCTGCGCCAAATGTTCTTTATTTTCTTCTTTCTTATTTGAATTGTCTTGACTGATAGTTTTATTTTCTTTATTGTTCAATTTGATAATATTATCAATAACTTTCGTTCCATTATTCAGTGGCGTCTTAGGTTTTTTATTTTCTTCTTTCCTAGTCGTTTTGTCTTGAGTAATGGTATTATTTTCTTTTTTATTCGATTTGGTGAAGTTACCAGTAACATTTGTTCCATTATTCAGTGGCGTCTTAGGTTTTTTATTTTCTTCTTTCCTAGTCGTTTTGTCTTGAGTAATGGTATTATTTTCTTTTTTATTCCATTTGGTGAAGTTACCAGTAACATTTGTTCCATTATCCAGTGTATAACCAGGCGTTGAAAGTATACTTTCATCATTTTCTGTAGTAATCGGCGCCAAATGTTTTTTATTTTCTTCTTTCTTATTTGAATTGTCTTGACTGATAGCTTTATTTTCTTTATTGTTCGATTTGGTAATATTATCAATAACTTTCGTTCCAATATTCAGTGGCGTCTTATGCTTTTTATTTTCTTCTTTCCTAGTCGTTTTGTCTTGAGTAATGGTATTATTTTCTTTTTTGTTCGATTTGGTGAAGTTACCAGTAACTTTTGTTCCATTATCCAGTGTATAACCAGGCGTTGAAACGATACTTTCATCATTTTCTGTAGTAATCGTCGCCAAATGTTTTTTATTTTCTTCTTTCTTATTTGAATTGTCTTGACTGATAGCTTTATTTTCTTTATTGTTCGATTTGGTAATATTATCAATAACTTTCGTTCCAATATTTAGTGGCGTCTTATGCTTTTTATTTTCTTCTTTCCTAATCGTTTTGTCTTGAGTAATGGTATTATTTTCTTTTTTGTTCGATTTGGTGAAGTTACCAGTAACTTTTGTTACATTATCCAGTGTATAACCAGGCGTTGAAACGATATTTTCATCATTTTCTGTAGTACTTGGCGCCAAATGTTCTTTATTTTCTTCTTTCCTATTTGAATTGTCTTGACTGATAGTATTATTTTGTTTATTGTTCGATTTGGTAATATTATCAATAACTTTCGTTCCAATATGCAGTGGCGTCTTATACTTTTTATTTTCTTCTTTCCTAGTCGTTTTGTCTTGAGTAATATTATTTTCTTTTTTGTTCGATTTGGTGAAGTTACCAGTAACATTTGTTCCATTATCCAGTGTATAACCAGGCGTTGAAACGATACTTTCATCATTTTCTGTAGTAATCGGCGCCAAATGTTTTTTATTTTCTTCTTTCTTATTTGAATTGTCTTGACTGATAGCTTTATTTTCTTTATTGTTCAATTTGGTAATATCATCAATAACTTTCGTTCCATTATTCAGTAGAGTCTTAGGTTTTTTTATTTTCTTCTTTCCTAGTTATTTTGTCTTGAGTATTGGTATTATTTTCTTTTTTGTTCGATTTGGTGAAGATACCAGTAACTTCTGTTCTATTATCCAGTGAATAACTGGGCGTTGAAACGATATTTTCATCATTTTCTGTAGTAATCGGCGCCAAATGTTCTTTATTTTCTTTTTTCCTATTTGAATTGTCTTGACTGATAGTATTATTTTCTTCATTGTCTGATTTGGTAATACTGTCAATAACTTTCGTTCCATTATTCAGTGGCGTCTTAGGCTTTTTATTTTTTTCTTTCCTGGTCCATTTGACTTGAGTAATGGTATTATTTTCTTTATCATTCGATTTGGTGATGTTAGCGATATTTTCATCATTTTCTGTTAAAAATGGCGTCATATGTTTTTTATTTTTATCATTTGAAACCCTTTGTTCAGTGAAATTTTGCTCTAATTGTTTTAGAGCAACAGTTGTGTGTTTATTTAATTTTGGTAAATTTGCTGATGTTTTGTGTGATTTCATTACAGATATGTTTGATAAATCGTTTTTAAATTCTGAGTGGCTTTCATCATCTAATTCTGATTCTGCTTCATCAGCGAGTCTCTGATATGCTGTAAATTCTTCTGGTGTAAGAGCACTTAAAACACCCAAAAAATCTTTATATGGCATATCATTGTAATTACACTCATTGTCATTCCACTTGATTGTTTTAAGATATTCATTTGATAATATGTCATCACCTTGTTTTATCATAATCTGGCCATGAAATGGCATATTCGTATCTGAGTCATTGAATTTAATAGCATTTCTTTTCATTTTTGGCGAACAGATGTAAATGAGTTTTTTCGCAACACCTGATTTTTTTGTAACATTTTTTTCTAAATAGTTTTTTTCATTCGCATTTGTAGAAACATCTCCTCTAGAATCATATTTCTTTTCATTTGCATTAGTATAGATATCATCATTGTTTTTCTTTTTATCTGTTCGATTTTCAGTAATTACTTCCGTTATGTTAGTGTCTTGAATATCCTTATTTTGGCAGAGTTCATGAGGTGATATATTATGCGATAAACCATTATAATATTCAATGTTAGTGGCGTCATTTACATCACTATCTTCATGTGGAGTAGTACTGAATATTTTCCTTGTTAGGATTTTATCTAGGGCACCATCTTCGCGAAAATCATGGTTTACTTCATTTTCGATCGTACAGGTTCTAGACCTGTCATTTTTTTCCTTTTCATCTGTTCGATTTTCGGTATCTACTTCCATTATTTTAGGGTGTTGGACATCTTTATTTTGGTAAATTTTATAAGGTGACATGGTATTCGACAAGCCATTATTATAATCCAAGTTTATGACATCGTTTATATCGATATTTTCCTGTGGGGTAAAACTGATTATTTTCCTTATTGGAGTTTTATCCAGGACAGCATCTTCTTGAGAAACGTGATATACTTCATTTTCGTTCGTACAGGTTCTAGATGCACAATTTTTGTTCTTTTCTTCTGTTTGATTTTCAATATCTACTTCCATTATTTTAGAATCTTGGACATGTTTACTTTGATAGATTTTAAAAGGTATATCGTTTACATCAATTTGTTTCTGTTGGGTTTTAATTAGTATACCCATTATAGGAGTTTTATCTAAGTTAGCATCTTTTGGAGAATCATGATTTACTTCATTTTCACTCGTACAAATTTTAACAGCGCCATTTTTTTCCTTTTCATTTGTTTGATTTTCAGTTTCTACTTCCATTGTTTTAGAATCTTGGTCATCTTTATTTTGGTTTATTTTAAAAGGCATATCGTTAACATCAATTTGTTCCTGTGGTGTTTTAGTTTGTATTTCATTATCTTTTTGAAAATCATGATTTACTTCCTTTTCACTCGTACAAATTTTAACAGCGTCATTTTTTTCCTTTTCATTTGTTTGATTTTTAGTATCTACTTCCATTGTTTTAGAATCTTGGTCATCTTTATTTTGGTTGATTTTAAAAGGTATATCGTTTACATCAATTTGTTTCTGTTGGGTTTTAATTAGTATACCCATTATAGGAGTTTTATCTAAGTTAGCATCTTTTCGAGTATCATGATTTACTTCATTTTCACTCGTACAAATTTTACCAGCGCCATTTTTTTCCTTTTCATTTGTTTGATTTTCAGTATCTAATTCCAATGTTTTAGAATCATGGTCATCTTTATTTTGGTTGATTTTAACAGGCATTTCGTTTACATCAATTTGTTTCTGTTGGGTTTTAATTAGTATACCCATTATAGGAGTTTTATCTAAGTTAGCATCTTTTCGAGAATAATGATTTACTTCATTTTCACTCGTACAAATTTTAACAGCGCCATTTTTTTTCTTTTCATTTGTTTGATTTTCAGTATCTGCTTCCATTGTTTTAGAATCTTGGTCATCTTTATTTTGGTTTATTTTAAAAGGCATATCGTTTAACATCAATTTGTTCCTGTGGTGTTTTAATTTGTATTTCATTATCTTTTTGAGAATCATGATTGACTTCCTTCTCACTCGTACAAATTTTAACAGCGCCATTTTTTTCCTGTTCATTTGTTTGATTTTCAGTATCTGCTTCCATTGATTTAGAATCTTGGTCATCCTGATTTTGGTTGATTTTAAAAGGTATATCGTTTACATCAATTTGTTTCTGTTGGGTTTTAATTAGTATACCCATTATCGGACCTTTATCTAAGTTAGCATCATTTCGAGAATCATGATTTACTTCATTTTTACTCGTACAAATTTTAACAGCGCTATTTTTTTCCTTTTCATTTGTTTGATTTTCAGTATCTGTTTCGATTGTTTTAGAATCTTGGTCATCCTTATTCTGGTTGATTTTAAAAGGTATATCATTTACATGAATTTGTTTCTGATGGGTTTTAATTAGTATACCCATTATAGGAGTTTTATCTAAGTTAGCATCTTTTCGAGAATCATGATTTACTTCATTTTCATTGTTGTTGACATCAATTTGTTCCTGTGGGGTTTTAATTTGTGTTTCATCACCTTTTGAGAATCATGATTTACTTCCTTTTCACTCGTACAAATTTTAACAGCGCCATTTTTTTCCTTTTCATTTGTTTGATTTTCAGTATCTATTTCCATTGTTTTAGAATCTTGGTCATCTTTATTTTGGTTTATTTTAAAAGGTATATCGCTTACATCAATTTGTTCCTGTGGTGTTTTAATTTGTATTTCATTATCTTTTTGAAAATCATGATTTATTTCCTTTTCACTCGTACAAATTTTAACAGCGCTATTTTTTTCCTTTTCATTTGTTTGATTTTCAGTATCTACTTCCATTGTTTTAGAATCCTGGTCATCCTGATTTTGATTGATTTTAATAGGTATATCGTTTACATCAATTTGTTTCTGTTGGGTTTTAATTAGTATACCCATTATAGGAGTTTTATCTAAGTTAGCATCTTTTCGAGAATCATGATTTACTTCATTTTCACTCGTACAAATTTTAACAGCGCCATTTTTTTCCTGTTCATTTGTTTGATTTTCAGTATCTGCTTCCATTGTTTTAGAATCTTGGTCATCTTTATTTTGGTTTATTTTAAAAGGCATATCGTTAACATCAATTTGTTCCTGTGGTGTTTTAATTTGTATTTCATTATCTTTTTGAGAATCATGATTTACTTTCTTTTCACTCGTACAAATTTCAACAGCGCCATTTTTTTCCTTTTCATTTGTTTGATTTTCAGTATCTACTTTCCATTGTTTTAGAATCTTGGTCATCTTGATTTTGGTTGATTTTAAAAGGTATATCGTTTACATCAATTTGTTTCTGTTGGGTTTTAATTAGTATACCCAATATAGGAGTTTTATCTAGCATCTGCTTTACTTCATTTTCACTCGTACAAATTTTAACAACGCCATTTTTTTCCTTTTCATTTGTTTGATTTTCAGTATCTACTTCCATTGTTTTAGAATCTTGGTCATCTTCATTTTGGTTTATTTCAAAAGACATGTCGTTAACATCAATTTGTTCCTGTGGGGTTTTAATTTGTATTTCATCACCTTTTTGAGAATCATGATTTACTTTCTTTTCACTCATACAAATTTTAACAGCGCCATTTTTTTCCTTTTCATTTGTTTGATTTTCAGTATCAATTTCCATTGTTTTAGAATCTTGGTCATCTTTATTTTGGTTTATTTTAAAAGGCATATCGTTGACATCAATTTGTTCCTGTAGTGTTTTAATTTGTATTTCATTATCTTTTTGAAAATCATGATTTACTTCCTTTTCACTCGTACAAATTTTAACAGCGCCATTTTTTTCCTGTTCATTTGTTTGATTTTCAGTATCTACCTCCATTGTTTTAGAATCTTGGTCATCTTTATTTTGGTTTATTTTAAAAGGCATTTCGCTAACATCAATTTGTTCCTGTGGTGTTTTAATTTGTATTTCATTATCTTTTTGAGAATCATGATTTAGTTCCTTTTCACTCGTACAAATTTTAACAGCGCCATTTTTTTCTTTTCATTTGTTTGATTTTCAGTATCTACTTTCATTGTTTTAGAATCTTGGTCATCTTGATTTTGGTTGATTTTAAAAGGTATATCGTTTACATCAATTTGTTTCTCTTGGGTTTTAATTAGTATACCCAATATAGGAGTTTTATCTAAGTTAGCATCTTTTTGAGAATCATGATTTACTTCATTTTCACTCGTACAAATTTTAACAACGCCATTTTTTTCCTTTTCATTTGTTTGATTTTCAGTATCTACTTCCATTGTTTTAGAATCTTGGTCATCTTCATTTTGGTTTATTTTAAAAGACATGTCGTTAACATCAATTTGTTCCTGTGGGGTTTTAATTTGTATTTCATCACCTTTTTGAGAATCATGATTTACTTTCTTTTCACTCATACAAATTTTAACAGCGCCATTTTTTTCCTTTTCATTTGTTTGATTTTCAGTATCAATTTCCATTGTTTTAGAATCTTGGTCATCTTTATTTTGGTTTATTTTAAAAGGCATATCGTTGACATCAATTTGTTCCTGTAGTGTTTTAATTTGTATTTCATTATCTTTTTGAAAATCATGATTTACTTCCTTTTCACTCGTACAAATTTTAACAGCGCCATTTTTTTCCTGTTCATTTGTTTGATTTTCAGTATCTACCTCCATTGTTTTAGAATCTTGATCATCTTTATTCTGGTTTATTTTAAAAGGCATATCGTTAACATCAATTTGTTCCTGTGGTGTTTTAATTTGTATTTCATTATCTTTTTGAGAATCATGATTTAGTTCCTTTTCACTCGTACAAATTTTAACAGCGCCATTTTTTTCCTTTTCATTTGTTTGATTTTCAGTATCTACCTCCATTGTTTTGGAATTTTGGTCATCTTTATTTTGGTTGATTTTAAAAGACATATCGTTAACATCAATTTGTTCCTGAGGGGTTTTAATTTGTATTTTATCATCTTTTCGAGAATCATGATTTACTTCACTTTCATTCGTAAAGATTTCAACAGCGCCATTTTTTTCTTTTTAGAAGCTCGATTTTCAGTATCGTTTTTCATTATGCTATAATCTTGGGTAGCCTGAATTTTACAGCAGCTTCTGTATCTTTTATATGTATTTCATCTGAATCCCCCAAATTTTTATTGATGTTTTCTACGTGTTTATTTTCATCTCGATGTGATATTTTAATAAGTTCAAAGTCTAGATGTTCATACTCTTCAGATGTGGTGTCAGAATCCGTAGTAGCATCAATGGGTGCATTGGTGTTACTGAATTCGCTGCAATTATTAATTTTCGATTGAGTATCATCTGAATTTATTTGGTCAATTAAAATTTGCTTAGGTTCCGACTCTTTAAAAGTGGTGTCAGAACATGTAGTAATATCAGTAGTTGGACTCAAATTAGAGTCGCCATTTAATTTTGGTTCTTTATTTTCTTCTTTTTATCGCCAAAATAGGGCACTGGATCATTATTGAAACACATAGATTTAAAACGACCTCTTACTGGCAACATTATAACAGTTGCATCGTCATAGTTTATAGGATTCGGATTGCTTTTTGACGAATTTTTATAAAGTGAGACAAGTGGTTTGGTTGTTTTATTTATGCTCAATTCTCGATCATCTGGAATATGTATATTACTGAGGGTTAGATTATGATCTTCATATGCATTAATCTTTATTGAACCATTTAATTTCTCTATAACGTCATTTACGTAATGACCACTTGACTTTCTTTCGCCGCACATTATATATATAACACTCATTTTGTATTTGTTTCTTGAGTATTTGGATATTCTCAATTAACTCTTTTACTATTTTTTGGGAAACACTGCTTTTATAATTTCCATTGTACAGATGCTTATCTATATGTTTCAAAAACCACAGCATTTTATTCGAATTCGCTTCGAAACCTCTATAGAAAACTGTATGTTTAAATAGACCTACATGTACTTTTTCTTTTTCGCGACTATTAAATTCCGTATTCAATTTGGTAGTACGAGCTGATCTGGATGGGCCTAAATGATGTTATCTAAAACATCCTCATTATTTTTATTTTGCTCTCGTTTAAGTTCTTCACTCGTCATTTCTATGAGAGAATTTTCAAGTTTGGGGGTCGAATCCGGTGTTTGGTGTGTAACTGTCGAATCTTGTGAATAATTTGTTACACCGTGCTGCTTATCAAGTTTTCGTTGCATTTCCAAATTCTGTAAGAGTTCGTGTACGTCATCATTAAGATCTTTGTGTTGCATATTTTCGTAAATAACTCTTAGTTCTTCGAGTTTGATATTATTTTTAGTGCTCTCATTCATTTTGTGCAAAAATTAGCCCATTTTTCAGAAAACGGAACTGAGAGCACTTCGTCATTGCTTTCATGTTTTTCTAATATTTTATTTTGAGTTGAGAATTCATGAAGAGATTTATCATTAATGAAGTTATATAATGTTCTAGGCTTTTCAGAATAATTATTTAATTCAATTTCTAAGTTTTTGTCTGTACTAGTGAAAAGCCCTCTAGTAGCAACAGTCGCCTCAGACAATGAAATTGTTGATAATTCAATTATATCCGTATCTTGTATGTCAACTTGTCTCATCTTTTGATATTGCTCTTTTATATTTCTCAGATTATTTGCATTTCCACTATGCCAATCTTGTCGCTTAACATATTCTAAATTTTTTGCAACAATATCTGCAAGCATAGGATCAACGGGACTGTTATTCGTGTTGTGCTCAATTTTTGGCCCATGAACATTAGACGAGCTTTCAAAATCATATTTCTTTTCGCGACTATTAAATTCCGTATTCAATTTGGTAGTACGAGCTGATCTGGATGGGCCTAAAATGATGTTATCTAAATCATCCTCATTATTTTTATTTTGCTCTCGTTTAAGTTCTTCACTCGTCATTTCTATGAGAGAATTTTCAAGTTTGGGGGTCGAATCCGGTGTTTGGTGTGTAACTGTCGAATCTTGTGAATAATTTGTTACACCGTGCTGCTTATCAAGTTTTCGTTGCATTTCTAAATTCTGTAGGAGTTCGTGTACGTCATCATTAAGATCTTTTTGATGCATATTTTCGTACATAACTCTTAGTTCTTCGAGTTTGAAATTATTTCTAGCGCTCTCATTCATTTTGTGCAAAAAATTATGCCATTTTTCATAATACCGAACTAATGATGGCTCTTCATCATCATTGCTTTTATGTTTTTCTAATATTTGACTATGAGTTGATATTTCATACCGAGACTCATCATCATCGATAAAGTCATGTAATCCTCTAGGCTTTTTAAAATCATTATATAATTCAGTTTCTACAACTTCGTCTTTATTAGTAAATGACTTTTTAGTAGTAACAGCCATATCAGACAATGGAAGTGTTGTAAATTCAATGCTATTCTGATCTTGTCTCTCAACTTGTGTCATCTTTTGATATTGTTTTATCACATTCTTCAAGTTATTTGCATGTTCGCTACGCCTATGTTGTCGCTTAACATTTTCTAAATTTTTTGATACAATATCTGTTACAATAGTACTGTTATTCATGTATCATTATTTTCTAGCCCATGAACATTAGACGAGCTTTCAAAATCCAACATAGATTTATCTACACTCGATGTTATTTGGCTTTCAGTAGAAAGTACAGATTTAGATCTTTGTTCGTTATTTTCTTGTAATTCCTCATTATTTTTCGATTTCTGATAAAAAATACTTTTAACTTTATTATTAGGAAAGTCTTCCGGTGTTGTGATACTATTTACTACTTGATCAAAATAATCAGTTGTTAAACCCTTATTTATATCATATGTTAACTCTTTATTCGAATGAAATGGGTTCCATTTTGAAGACGTTATAAAATTTTCGTCGTTAATTTCGATTTCAGTCTGTTTACGTAAGTACGGAAAATTTGTAACTGATTCAAAAGCAGGCTTTTGGCAATTATCGTCATTTTGAAAAGAAATCTTACTGGCCTTTGGATAACTTTTATTTTCTGATAGATTCATATCTTGAAGTACCGACATAGTAACTGGCTTTTGCCGTAAAGCATTCATAGTATTATCTTCAGGAGATGTCGTGCTTGTAATATTTGGTTTGAAATTAATAATATTTAACATTTCGTTTTCGTTTTCTTTACTTGGGAACAGTTTTTCCATTTTAGGTTGGTTTTCCTCGTGGCGGCTGGTACTACATGTTTGTGTCAAAGCTTTTTCATACTCATTTAGTTGCTTGGTATTATAATGTGATATATTTTCACTATCTAAGAGTTGTTTATCTTGTACATTATCTTGATTTATAAAGTTATTTGATGTTGTACCTATACTATCATCAATATCGGTGTAAAATCTTGAGAAATCAACAGTTTCGTCACCCAAAGTGATATATACAAATTCTGGTGTATGATCAGAGATAGAGGGATATGCAGAGACCGTGGGATATTTACTACGAATATCATCTTCTGTATTATATATTTTATTTTTGTTCAATTGATTTTTTTTCTCGAGTTCCTTATATCTGTGGAAGGAAGTACGCCGCGTATTATCGCGACGTATATGACTATTATCATTTTCATGGGTATTTATAGAAAATTTCTTATTGTCATTATAATCAAAATGATAATTAATCTGTTCAGGATTGCGTGACGATTCAGTAACAAATTCGTCATCTTCCTCTTGGTTAGAATTACAGATTGTATGATTATTTACCTTTTTAACGCCAACGTTTACAATTGTTGATAATGTAAGTTCGTAACCTTTGGGTTTCTGTGTACTTATATCAGAATCCGGGTACGTTGTGATAATTTCGGCGTCGTCGACGATTCTATTTATTATACCACCATCAGCGTTTTTGTGACTTTTATTAAATACGCCATCTGCACGATGCCGCAATTTGTTATCGCGATTATTTGGAATATCTTCGTGTTTCTTATCCAAATTATCGTATAAATTTTGTTTTTCACTCAAAGAGATATCTGAAAATTCAGGCTTTTTATCAAAGTTAGGTTTTCTTCAAGCCATTGATCTTCGAATACAAGTCAATTTCAGAGATAGAGGGATATGCAGAGACCGTGATATATTCACTACGAATATCATCTTCCGTATTGTGCATTTCATTTCCGTTTCAATTTGATTTTTTTCCTCAAGATCCTTATATCTTTGGGTGGAAATACCCTGCGTATTATCGCAACGTACATTACTATTATCATTTTCATGGTTACTTAGAGAAAATTTTTCATTATCACTATAACCCAAATGATTATAATCTGTTCAGGGTTGCGTGATGATTCAAGAACTAATTCGTCGTCTTCCTCTTGGTTAGAATTACAGATTGTATGATTATTTACCTTTTTCACGGCAACGTTTACAATTGTTGACAATGAAAGTTCGTAACCTTTGGTCTCTGTATAGTTATATCAGAATCCGGGTCCGGTGCAATAATTTCTGCGTCGTCAACGATGCCATTTATTATATCACCATCAGCGTTTTGGTCACTTTTATTAAACACGCCATCTTCACGATGCCGCGATTTGTTATCACCCAAAGAGATATCTGAAAATTCATGCTTTTTATCAAAGTTAGATTTCTTCAAGCTATTGATCTTCGAATACAAGTCAATTTCAGAGATAGAGGGATATGCAGAGACCGTGATATATTCACTGCGAATATCATCTTCCGTATTGTGCATTTCATTTTCGTTCAATTGATTTTTTCCCTCAAGATCCTTATATTTGTGGGTGGTAATACCGTGCGTATTATCGCGGCGTACATTACTATTATCATTTTCGTTACTTATAGAAATTTTCTCATTATCACTATAATCAAAATTATTTTTAATCTTTTCAGGATTGCGTGACGATTCAGTAACAAAATCGTCATCTTCCTCTTGGTTAGAATTACGATTGTATGATTATTGACCTTTTTAACGCCA